CAAAAATAATTTATTTTTTTTATGATTTAAATGATTTTATTATAATTAATTATTCATTATATAAAATAATGAACCAAAATTAAATTTTTTTACAATGCAAATAATAAATCACAATTCAAACTACAACTTTAAACATAAATATTAAAAACTAAAAAAAGATATAAACATGAAAAAAAAAAAAAAAATTAAATTATAAACATGAAATTGCCAACAGTTGCCTTCATAATAAAAATATACATTACAAAGTTTTAACTTTAAAAACTGGTTTTTTTTTTCCCTTTTTTAATAAACATTAAAAATTTTCTTGCCTTTGTTAATTTTTGGAACCCAAATGGATTTGAAATTTATCCATTTTAATCAAAGTTTTGGTTTATGATAAATATAAAGCATCTATAAACTTCATTCATGAAATAGTGACAAAGTGCCATTAAATACAGTTAATAAAATATAAACAATAAAATGTTCATAATTAGAATTCTTTTCATTCAATAAAAGGATATTACTTTCGGCTCTTAAAATAATAAAAAAATTAAGACGAAGGCAAGTGCTAAAAAACATTTGATAATAAAATCTGTGATCTAAATGAAGATAAGCCATCTACTTTGTCTTAACATAGAATTCAATGAGTATAAGTAGAATGTAACTACATATCATCTTGACCCATGTTGCAACTAATAAAGCAAGAAATAGATACAAAGGACAAATGGCCATGGGGCCCTTGAGTTCCTTGAAATGTACTTAATAAAAAAATAGCAACATTTTCCCCGACCTTCAGTGTTCTACTTACATATTGGGACTGAGGTAGGACCATGACTCATCAATTCTTAAACAACAATATACTATAAACTTATGACGTCTTGATTCAATTCGGAACAGGACATATGGTTTCTTTATCAATTCATGTGAAAACCAAGTTAGTGTCCATCTATTCCGTTATTTTCATACATGTCTTACAAGAAATGAATCGAAATAAAGGAGTATGACTTGTCTGACACTCAAAAATACTGTCATGGAAAAAACTATAAAAATATTATGCAAGAGAACCAATTCATATTTTTTTTTTATATTGGATAGATGAGAGATTCATCCTCATGTATTTGTATCACAACACTTTCAAGAAACAGTTAAAACCATTCGTTGAAACCAATCCTGAAACCAAATAACCCCAAAGCACAAGCCATATTATATTGAACATATAGGCATGACAAATCAAGAAGCTAACTTTTCTTCATTTCAAACCTTACAACTTTCATCCCTGGAAAAACTGCATTCCCCTGCAATTGTTTGGTCCTTTTAGCCAAGAATTCACGTCGTCATTGTACAATTAACCAAAAGTTGCATCTTCCTGGAACACATAAAAATAACCATACAATTCCGACTGACCTGATTACCAGACAGAAAAAAAAAATAAACTTGGAATTAGAAGAAAGGTGATTAAATCTAATCTTTATGAGGATGCTGGAATTTTGAAAACTTTGTAGACAGAAATGACAATGGGAAAAAAAATTAATAATACCTGCCAACCTGCTTCAATGTTGTTGAGATCTTTACCAAAAGAGCAGTCAGAATCCACATTTGAGATAAGCTAAATTCATTGGTTGTTGAACTTTTTGGTTCCGAACTTTATGGTTGCCTTGGCTCATAATTACTTATTCCCGCCACATAAGTTATGGCAATGCTAAATGCTCCAAAAAGATCAAAGGAATAAAGAAAAATATACAAAATCAGGAGAAATCAATAAATAAGTAATCAACTTTTATCCTTTGCTCCCATACTATCTTGTTTTTCCTTTTGCATAAAAAGGAGACCTAATAGGGTAGGTAGTTTACAAATTTTTCTATCTTCTTTTGCATAGAAAAAAGGCCCAATATGGCAAACAATTTTTCCACTCTAACTTATGGGTCTGGTGAGTTAACTGGCTTGGCTTGAGGGAAGCTTGTTTCCTTCTTTTTTCCATTGTGAATATAGCTTGCCCTTATATGTCCTTCTTTTAGGTCCTTCTGACGAATTTGTTCCCTGAGGGCACCTTCCATTTTGGTGCCACATTGAGTAATAGGCTAGGAATTTGAAAGAGACTTTGTTCTCCCCAAAAGGGGGTGCCCTTCAGGATGGAATTTGGTTTCATCTACATACATCTGTGATTGTTTCAAATTCAGTTGGAACAAAGAAAAGAGTAAAGAAAAAATGGAGCTAACCAGGAAGATGTTTGAATTATAGCATTAAAAGGCCCTAGATAAGAAAAGTAAAATTCTTCCACCTGTATCTTGTGATTTTCGAGGTAAGGGTGATCCAAAGTTGGCTGGTGAGAGACATGGAGGCAGTCAATAATATCTCCATCAGGACTCTGCTTTCAAAACAACAGAAATGTAAATTAGAAAGAATTATGCTCATGGATGTGCACAAAAAGCAAAGGAACCAAACCAAATTACACTACAATTCCTAGTAAACATAGATTTTGCTCAAAATTCAAGAACAAGTGAATCGTTCTCTACTCCTTTCATGTAGTCCCTAAGTTTGGTACCTTTAGAGAGTATATTAGCAACAACCTACACAAAACAAAGCAACCTAATAACTTAATAATGGCCGATCATTTCAACAGCAGTAATGCTTTCAACACAGTGACGACAAAGTGACTCACATCATTATTCTTACACTCTTCCAACTCCTGCTCTAGTCCTTCAACCGATATATCATCGCTGCTAGTCCTTCAACCGATATATCATCGCTGCAAAGAAGTTAACGCAATAAGTGACATCAAAATTCCATTTTCCAACTCGTGAAAATAGTGCATAGCACATTCCCCCAAACATACAATTATACCCAAAAGAACATTAACATAGGGACAAGCAAATTGTACCACATACAAGCACTCAATCACACTAAAATAGTTCTCCATACCTGGAAGTTCTTTATCTCCATGGCCAAACCCAAAATAGCAAGACACTAGAAGAAAGCCCCATTCAAATCCCTAAAAACAGAACCCGAATTCAAACCTTATCAATCGTGAAAGTTCATCCAAATCTCTAAACTGCTGCTAAGACTCTGAAAACATATTCTTCGTCGTGAAAACACCACGCCTAAGCCACCGGAAACTCGCCGTGAAGACGCTGAAACATCGTTGTCGCAAAGTAAATGCCGCTGTCGCCACACCCACGGACAGAGGCCATCACGCCGCGGATTCGGCATGACTCTATCAGCTTCTCTGCGACGGGGCATCCTTGTTTCTCTTCTTGACAGATTTCTTTCCAAGTTGAATTGTCTTGATTGTGATCAAGCCCCAAGCGTTTCCACACCAGCTTTTAAGATAACAAATGGAGGAGGAAACTGATACCTCATTGGGAAACTGAACCCCAGATCGTAGAGCGGAATGAGTTATGGAAAATGAGAGGCACGGGTAGTAACTAGGGTTATAGAAAATGAATAAAAGAAATTTTAGGAAGGGTTTATTATCACACTAGAAAATTTTAAAGTTAAAACAAAACAACACATACCGCGACGGTTTTGTGTTATAACCCGCAGGAACTTAATTGGTTTTTAAAACCTCCTAAAAATAACCTCGTAAAATATATTATTTTTGTAGGGTGGGAAGCAAAGAAGACATGTAGGAGACAGGAAAATTAATACAAATTTAACATATACAAAATGAGGATAAGAATTTTAGAACAAGTTTAATGTTAAACCCTCATTTCCTAAAGTGATGTTTGATAGAATCAATTGATTAATTATTTAAAAATGAAAACTAATTTTACAAAAGTTACACAAATAAACAAATGTTAATTAAATTGATTATAAACATTTAGTATAATAACGTACCGTTAAGCTTGCTAATAAAAGCAAATAATATAAAAGGGTACATATATATTATTTATATGACTTTCACATAATTTTTTATTTTATAAAAAATATTTAAATAGTTATATACATATATATAAGGGTTGTACTTTCTATATTTACATATTGGCAATATAAAATTTCTGCACTCTCCATCAACCACAAATTAATTGTCACTGATAACGACTTCACAAAATTTGAGATTAGAAAACTATATAAACAAAAAAAAAAGTCTTCAACTTTTACATTATAATTCATAAATTATTTACTATGGTGATGTGGGGTGGATTAATTATATATATAATGCAAGTTAATTAATTAATTAATTAATTAACATTGAGTATTTTGCACAGTGTTTGACATTATTATAAAGGTTTTGTCATAGTCATTCTTTTTCACTTTGTTTCCTGATTTTGGTTTCTTTTTCCACTCTTTCTCACAAGAAAATGCTCTTTGCCTCTCCATTCTCTCATGTCGTTTTTCTGTTGTCTCACTATTAATTTGCGGGTTTCTCTCATCTTGTCTTGCAACTAACTAGGGTTCTTCCTTCAACTCTCACATCAAATAGTCACTTTCCAGAAAACCTTCTCTCTCTCTTTCTCAGTTAGGTGCAAAGCTTTTTCATACTCAAATATTAAACAATTAACAGATCTTCAAACACCAAAGCTTGCTGCCACATTTAAGGTAATAATCATCCAAATTACATATTATATTTATCTTTCTCTTAATTTCTTCAATCAAACCTACCTGTAGTTAGCTAGCTATAGCTTCTTCCTACTTTTACTTGGAAACTTTGCCTTATAAATTATAGTCTTCATCAGAAGGTTGAATCTGGTTTTTTGAATTTTTGTGAAAGGTACAACATGCATATATATTTATATATTCTGGGTGATTGATTGGTGTAGCATCCAATAGAAAGAGATGAAAATTCCATATACAAAAGCTGCTTGGTTGGTGTACCTTTTTCACTTTTAATTCAGCTATACACACACATATATAAAAGGCTACACCTACAGATTTAGAGAGATTAAATTTGCAGGAAAGAGACAGGTTAATTAAGGAACATATATATATATATATGTAGAGAATTTCATGCATATATATATATATATATATATATCATATTTTATATCTGTTTTTGTTGATTTCTTTTTGTTTCATACTTCTGTACAAAAAAGGGAAAAAGAATTCTGGGTACTGAGAATCTGTGAATAGTATAGCACTCAGTCTGAAAGAAGACTTTGCCACAAAAAGTTAATGAAAAAAGTTCAAAAAGTATATAGCAGCAGCAAAGTGCTTGAAGAAACAGGCAAAGTCTTCATAACCCTAAGTTTAATGAGATATATATGCACATGGAAGAGCTTAATTATGTTCTGGAATAGTCTGATTACTTCAAAATATACCATGTTAATATGATCTGTTATTAGAACTTTGAATATTTTGTGATTGTTGTTGATTTTTTCTGGTTGTGAATTTGAGGTAAGTAGAAGATGATGGCTTCTTCTAGCTACTCGAATTCTCCATGTGCAGCGTGCAAGTTTCTGAGGAGAAAGTGCATGCCAGACTGCATTTTTGCGCCATATTTTCCTCCAGAGGAGCCTCAGAAGTTTGCAAACGTGCACAAGATCTTTGGTGCAAGCAACGTGAGCAAGATTCTGAACGAGGTGCAACCCTATCAGAGAGAAGATGCTGTGAACTCTCTGGCATACGAAGCAGAAGCAAGGATCAAAGATCCTGTGTATGGTTGTGTTGGTGCCATTTCAGTGCTGCAAAGGCAAGTTCTCAAGCTCCAAAAGGAGCTTGATGCTACAAATGCTGATTTGATCCGCTACAGCACTTGCAGTGAAATGCCAAACAGTAGTAGCAGTAGTAGTCTTCATCATGGAGGAAGAAGCAAGATGAGTAGTGATGATGGTGGTGGTGGCGGCGGCGGAGGTTCTTCACATGGTTTAAGCTTCTATTATTCTTCTGCTAATTGGAACAATGATCATTCTGAAAATGGCTACCCCAGAGGAGATATATAACAAGATCTATGCATCAATTATTATATAGTCACGTAATAAATTTCAAGTTAGGGTTTTCTTATTGTAAAGTATTGGATGATTGGTCTTATTCTCTGTGTATATATATACATATATCTATATGTTGTCAAGTATGTATACACATTGATATAATATGATATATATGTTATTGTGAGATATAATATATAGTAAAATCATAAGTGTATCTTTTGATTGTATTTGAAGATTTTGAAAGAAAATCAAGTTTTATATGAAACTAACTGGGTTTCTATAAAAAAAATGTTATGTGTAAACATATTTTTAAGATCAATCAAAAAGTTATACAAAACTAAATTTAGAGTTTAAACTCGAAAATTGTTTTAAAAGGACAACAAAACCTTAAATGCAAATTGATGTATAAACAAGTGAAGCAGAACATATCTAGATAAGATCAAATTGTTGTGTTTGGTAATACGTAAAAAAAAAACTCATACTCTTAAACCAATAAATAAGTAGAATTTTCTCTTAGAGAAGATGATATTTTTACACACATAAATTTTTTATATTCATTTCATGTTATTTTTTTTATTCTTTTTTCTTAAAAGATATAAAAGTTTACTCTTTTATATATTAATAAATGTTAAAAGAAAACTTGAGATGATTTTTGTGATTGATTGGCATGGTTAGATTTGTGTCTTTTAATTTTGACCACTAATTGATATTCCATTATTTTTTTTGTCTGAGAAAATTAAATTATATATAAAAGGGCCCCTACTCACTAGAAGCCATGAATCGACAAGAGTTATTTAAGGTTGGGGTGTTAGCCAAATGGAATCTTATTGGTTTACTTTTTATTTAATATTTAATATTTTGATGTTATATAATTCAATAATATATAATGTCACTCACCTACCTTTTCAAGCATGCACTGCAATTTCCATGTACCTACTTATATATACATATATTAGGTGAAGTTCTCAAAATGGCCATATCTATCAACCTTTTCAGGCATGCACTGCACTTTCCATGAACCTACACTTATAATTTTTTATATAAAAACAAGAATAATGAATATTATATATTAAAATAAAATAAAAATTGCATAAATTCTATATATGTAAGTTTTTTTTTAATTGTGCCATTCTTTTGAGTGATGATGTGACTTTAAATCTTAACTATTTTATATGATTATATGTCTTTTTATTCTCATATAAAAAATGTCAATTTTATTATATATCCCAATCCTTACAAATTGTTATATTAAATATATTTTATTCTAATTATTTCTTTATAAAATATATGAAATATAACTATCTCAGAAAAATATTTTTATACTGATTAAAAAAAATTATATTGATTTTTCAACCAGCATAAAAGTAATGGATCATAAAGTATTTAACTTTTTACCCTCATTTTACAACAAATATAAAAGGTTCACTTTATATACCAATTCTAAAATCAATATATAAAGTTTATTACAGGAGAAATAAATTTATATATGATTCAAACTTTTTATATTAATTAAGATTTCAACTGGTATAAAAGACATAACAAGTCTTCACATAAAAATATAACATCAATAAGATCAATAGATTTATTATTCTTTTTCTTTATAAAGTGTTTAATTTTTTTTTATCTAACAACAAATTAGATTTATACTTGAATTCCAACGTATACAATTACCTTCATATGATATGTTTCTTTTTTTTTTTCATCTTTTAGAAAGAAAAAAATAAGAAGACCTACTGTGAACATAAGGGGTGTGTGTTGATGGCAAGAAAAAGTGTTATGGTGTTGACTTTCCTCAATTATGCATGTTAAGATGGTGTTGTTTTTTAGAGAAATAATAAAATTAAATATTATTAATGGAAGATATGATGTTTTGGGCAAGGAAATATTTGCATGTCTTCCCTGTATTTCAACATTATGATTGTGAGAATGAAGTGTGGCACAGATGCCTAGGGATATAGGATCTAGGAAGAGGATTGTTGTGTTCTTGTTCACGCATGTGATCACATTGGGTCATTCCACTTTCAATCTAGTGGGACAAGGAACGTGCATGTTGCTTCCACATATACAACCAACTTTCTTCAACATTTTCTTCCTCCTAAGTTTGTTCCCACACACAATGTTCTTCATTACAACTTCGATCTGGGTTGTTAGATTCATTTGTTTTCTCCACGACAGCAAAGTTTAAATTGTTGTTGTTGGTTATCAAGAACATTTGTTTTGTTTTATATATTTATTCGCGTAAGGTAAAGTTAAGGGTTAAATATGTTTTTAGTCCCTAAACTATGAAAAGAATTTGTTTCTAGTCCCTCTTTGAAATAGGGACTAAAAACAAATTCGCTTGATAGTTTAAGGACTAAAAATATACTTAACCCTTAAGTTAATGAAGTATATATACAAAATGTATTCTTATTGCACTCAATAGTTTTATATCGCTTAAAAATTAAAATTCTTTCGATACTCATTTTCTCTTTTACTTATGGAGTCTTTTGAAGAAAAAACCATGATAACACAGCTGCAAAATAAATAATATGAATACTCTTGTATTATTTATTGAACAATGAATTTTAATAGCTTTACA